CGTCTAAATCGCTTTTTAGCTAGGACTACGCGGGTAATAAAATATAAAAACGAACTTCGGGAGGATGGGTGGGGGCCGGTGTCGTGTCCTTGGTCTCGAGCGCAAACACTTAAATCGCGTCCATAAAATTAGATGGAAAAAAAACGGTCGCCAGCATAAATATAACATTTTTTTTTTTTACATTTCGTTTCGAAGTAATAATGAATTTACACGGTCTTTGCACACGTTGCTGCGCTCACAATGGGCGAGCACACGGAGAACGTGTTGGAACAATTACCATTTATTCATTAGGCCGCCGTCGTCGGCCGTACGAATCAACCGCGGGGGACGGGGGCGGTGGCGGCGGCGGCCGCGACAACACAACGACGGTTTTTATTATATTTCATTCCTCTCGACGCTCGTTTTACACTGTACATACTACGACACATACACACGCGCATACAATTACTTATATGTATATGTACATAATAATAATAATAATAATAATATATAACATACATGCGCGTGCATGAATTCACACTCACTCACACACACTCACTTATACGCGCGACACGCACACACGCGCGCGCATTAATCGTAAATAGTTGGGAAAAATTCCGTTCGCCCTCGCGTATTTCATTAAAAATAGAACCGAATTTTATTCGGTCCTTAGTAGTCGAACAAACACTACTGCGAAATGATTTTTAATATTTATCAATATTATATTTTATTTCTTATTATTAGTCATCGAGACACGGAAGAGCGGGTAGAACAAATTGCACGCGGTTTTTTGCAATGAAAAGAAAATTTATATTTTTTGATAGTCCCTCGAATAAAAAACACCAATTGTAATGTACCTACGTGTTCAGGCCACGAACGAAAAATAAATAATTATTTAAAAAAAAAACCCATAACTTGGTTATAAAAATTATTATTATTATTAGTCTTAGCTACTATAATAGCTAACTGCAGTCTTGGTGGCCTTGCACCGTCGCTGCAATAACAAGGATCGTTTATACTGAAGAGAAAAGTCTAAATTTGAAATCAATTATAGTGCGAGTTGCATTTTTGTCAATTCAACATAATAATTAATAATAAACAAATATCTTTAAAAACGTAAACATTATAAATAAATAAAATAAAATATTAATTTATGATAATAAAACGCTTAAGTTAAAAAATCAAAACACATGATGATCTGTATAAAATAGTTGTTAATTTATAATATTTATGTATTCATTATGTGTTTAAAAAAAGTGATGCATTTTTTGTTTATTTTTATCTACTTCTGTGGAATTCAAATTAATTTATAAATTATAATTTTCTATATTATATTTTGTTATAGTCTTCACATTTTTATGTTGCGTAGCTTACTCTCAAAAATAATGAACGCCCAAGAAAGACGGTCGTTGCGAGTTCAATTTGGTAATTTGGTCGGCGCGGGTTATAATTAAAAAGATGATAAATTTCTGGTAACCGAATAACTATTATAACAGTATATTTTTAGTAAAATGTCACGTATTTGATTACTATTATTCGCTGGCCACAGTAGTAAAGACACACACGTGATTGAACAGTATGACAAGAATTCATTTAAAACAATTAAAATGCTATTCTCTGAAGTACTGCGTAAATATGGGTTTAAAATATTGCATCGACTATAATAGTAGCACAGTGAACGAGAACTGTAAAAATAATATTTACAACTATTTATAGTATTTTGTTTCTTGTTGTTAGTCTGTTTTGGTAAAATACAAAAATAAAATTATACAAAAATATTATCATTATAATATAATACCATTCGTTAATAATAATAGTACCTCAAATGTTGTAAGATGAAATAAAAACTGGAACCATGGTAATTTTATAAATAATATGTTAAGAACAATTAAACCAAAAACATATAAGTTGGGAGACCATTAAACTATTTGTTCTTGACCACCAATCGTTAAAATATAATTTTTGTTTTAGTTAGATGCATTATCGGATCACGGTAGTCCTCCGATCAGGCCTCATAAACGCAAACACGAGAATCTAATGTGTCTACAGATAGAGTAAAAACGAGACGATAAAGAGTTTATTTTATATGCTGGCCTGCCACTACTAACTAACTACTACTGACTCTTTTAACATTTTTAAAAAAATATTCAAAGATTTATAGTTTATACTGTACAAATATTTTTTTTTTAAATTTGGTCCATGAAAATTAAACAGCTGACGGCAAAAAATGATACGGTCTGAAAAAAATTGTTGAGATTTTTTATTAAATCCGAACATCTTCGGCGTTTGTCGTCTTAAGTTATGACGCCATCGTTTTGAATATCAAAGACCCGAAGATGATCATTGACCTCGATAAAATGTAATGCCGTTTGCAGAATTGCGACAAAAATCTGTTTGTAAATCGTACTCTTTGCTTTCGCGTTTACCAAGAGCAGAGCGTGCATACTGCATAATAATTGTTTTGCCATAGTAGGTGTTTCGTCGGATTTGCTGATGGTTTTGTTTTTTTTTTTTCCAAGAACCAATGAATCACTTATAGTAATATATGTATTTAGATTTATTTTCTCTCGACCGAGAGAGGCTTAAATGCGACGACATCAACGCAAATTTTGAAAAAATCTTCTGATGGAGGTAAACGACCGGGTACTGGGTAGATGGGGTAATACAACGTGACTAGCGAGCAATAAACGTCGGGTCGCGCAGCGTATAATTATTTACTGTCGACAACTTCACAGGTTTGTTTTTATTTAACAGATTTCTCACACAACCATAACATAATAATATTATACCTGTTTAGCAATATTTTGGAAATTATGGGCTTAAAAATATTTCTATGTCATACCAACAAGTCCACCACCATAATATTTTATCAAATTTAGATTTGCATAAGTTAAATAATAAAAGCTGAAGTCATATACCTAAGTTTTATAATGTAAAAACGATACAATAAACGAAAACAATATCATTATTATTACATAAGTACTCTTACTCTACGTCACGAGGTTTTTCCTCAGTGTAGAGTAACTTATACTAATATTTCTCAAATATTGTATACTATTATATTTTTTGTTACTAGAAATAAATAAATAAATAAATAAATAAATATAATATAGTACCTATATGTATATAATTTGCTAAAATTACACTTAATTGATTTAAAGCATTTAAATACTTTTATCGTACCTATTATTAAACAATTAAAATCTCGAAGAGGAAAATTAATAATATAATATTTAAAATTCTTAGTTCTTACTAGAAACGATTAAACGTGTTCATTGTAATTATTTGGCATATATTTTATAAAATTGAAATACTTTAAAAGAATAGCGTATAAGTACTATTATAGTAGCATAAAATTAATAATAAAATCAGATATTATATTTTTTGTTCAACAACTACGTAAAAACGAAAAAAAACCATTTCAATAATAGGAAGTAGCTATAATTTGAATTTTACAATACTACCGTTGTTTAATCATTAACAGTCCAATTTAAAAATTAGAATTAAAACGCAAAACAATATAGTTTTAATTTTTGTTTAAAACTACTAATTGAGATCAGTAATTTATTGTATTAATGTAGTTTTTATAGTCGAAGTATTGAAAAATAATATGATAATCAATGTAATATATATTTGAAATGACGAACTAATTATTAAAGCCCATAATATTTATATATAATCTAACGTCCAGAGTAGACGTTACAATATATTGCTATATACAATAGTGATGAAATATAGATTACTTATGTACTTAAAATTACACATGAAACTCAATATTTGACTTCCAATGTTACTGCGGTGTGAGAAAGAAAACCAATTATCGAAGCGAACGAACGATATTGGTACTACGTAATGGCCTTCATAAACGCACACACACCCTAATGACGTACGATTTAAAATTATAATTTGATTCGTCGTAAACTTTTGTCGGATAACTCCGAAAAGGAATTAATAGTCTTGTCGAACGTTCGTCATCAACGCGCCGGTGCTAAATATAAAACAAATGATAGGGCATCCCGCAGCAAGAAAGCACAAGAACACTGTTGGCCGTCAACACAAATGGTATGGGATATAATATACCATTATATTATTATTACAATGTGGGTCATTGCACCGTAAGTATGTTTGAGAGAAATAAAAACTAGAAAAACCGATATAGGCGAGTCTTATCGGGTTCGAAAACCCGTGGCCAGCGTATAGTATTCGGTGTGGAAAATACGCGATAAAATAAAAACATGATCGTTTGGCGTGGAAACCGCAAAAGCCGAAAAACACCATCGAGGTCGGAGTTATTAAAACATTTAAAACTATAATTATTATTACTAGAGAGATATGACGATGAAGTCGACAACGGTTCGTCGATTGGAATACGCCGCCGCCGCGCCGTCTGCTACCGACAGAAAAGACGGATATACGCGCTAACAATAATATTCGACCCACCGTCATCAATAATAGAAATCACACAAGACGTGATCGATCGACGATCGCGGCCCGACACAAAGATAACTGAGTACGATCCGGGAGTCATCTCGGCGGCGGCCCACTGCTACTATTGCCGTAGGTATATTATAAACTATAAAATATATATAATTTACGAACGGACGGACGGCGGAGAGGCCCTTAACCTCGATAACCGATAACAACGATTACGCCACCGGTTACCTGTACAAAGTTGTACACACACACGCGCGCGCAGACTGGCCGAAACCTAATTATTATCGATCAAAATTAGATATGATATTATGATATATATAAATAATACGTATACGTTAATCGGAGTATCGGACGTCTGGCGTAACGATTTCATAACGACGCTCGTTAACAATATTATTATCTTTACGATCGTCGACACGTGGGGGCCGGTTATACGAAAGTTTGCGTCTGAACCGCATACGAAACAGAGAGACTTGAAGTGTAAAAGGGAGAGAGTTTGAGAGAGAAACAAAAATTAATGTAAAAACGCGAGAAGTGGAAGGGGGTGGTAAAAAGCTCCGGAAATAAATAATTCAAAAGAAACTCACCCAGAGATGTTGGAACTGTTGTGGTGTATGACGTTGGAACTGCTGTGGTAGACGCCGTGATGATTTTGCGACGACAAATGTTGCGGAATTTGCTGTTCGGCGGCCGCGGACGACGGCGTATACGAGTGGTCGGCCACGTGCGGCTGCTGCTGGCACACGATGGTAGGCGAACCGCAGCCCTGTTGTTGGTCGTCGTGCAAATGGCCCTGCAACGGGGAAGCGCTACCCGAGTCACTGTGCAGTGAGGCCACGAGATGCGCGAAGGGATTCTCCTGCTGTCCGGGTCCAGCGCCGCCGTCGGACCGGGCCAAGTGCAGGTCAAGCAGTTCACCTTTAGCGGCTGCGGCAACCACCACTTCCTCGTCGTAACCACCCGCCGAGCTGCCGGGACTGGAGCAGTGTTGCTCCTGTTGCTGCTGGAGCTGCACGGACAATTGCTGCTGGTGGTCCTGGTGGAAGTACTCGTCGGTGTACACTTGCTGGACTCGGTCCAGCGGTTCCTGCTTGAGCACGATGTGATCGAACTTGGCATGTTGCTGTTGCTGCTGCTGCTGGTACGCCTGTTGCTGGTACTCGTAAAAATCTTCGTCTTCGTCGCGCTGTTGTAAGTGCTGATGTATCTGTTGCTGACCCGCGATCAATACTTGCGGGAACATAGCGGCCATCAAGTCTCGGCCACTGCCGTACTTGGCCTGTTGATAAGTCTGTGCAACCAACATATTGTCGTAACGGCTGTTTGGCGACGGTCCGCTACTGTTACTGTTACTGTTGTTGTTATTGCTGTTGACACCGGTCGACGTTGTCGTAGTCGTCGCACTGGTGCTTACGTGTAGCTGCGGCGGACTGTCGTGCTGCTGGTGCTGGTGCTGGTGATGGTGTTGATGATGATAGTTCATATCATCGCGGCGTACGTACACGTTGCCGGTCGGCCGTTCGTCTGCCGTCCCGTGAACCGGTTGTTGCTGTAAACGGTCGACGGCGGCGGGCTCCTCCTCCTCCGACCCGAACGACGTCCTACCGACCGGCGCACCATCTACCGCCGGCGACCCGTAGCCGATGCTGGGCGTGCCCGCGCTCCCGCCGCCATTTTCTTCGTCCGCCGCCGCGGTCACCACGTCGGTCGCCGAGCCGTCGCAACGCTGTGACGAGGACGACAACGGCGCCGCGGTCGTTGTGGCCGCCGGCGGCGACTCATCGCTCGCCGCCTCCTCCGCTGCGGCCACGACCGGCGACGTCACGACGTCACCGCGACGGTTGTTCAGCTCGTCGATGGTGTCCGCCGCCGCCCTGTCTTCCTCGGCGGACGTGTCGAACTCTCCGCCGTCGCAATCGCTCCTTCCGTCACCGCCGACGACAACCGCCACATGATGCTGCAGGTGGTGGAGCTGATGCTGGTCGAGTTGTTCCGACGACGATTCCGCCGCTGCTACGGCCGATAAGCCTAAACGGAAAAATAAATAATTTATATTTTATAGTTCGCTCGCTTTCGTAATAACATATTAGGTGTCATGTCAAACCATTCAAGTTTTGTCACGCACGATACATATTAATATTAACGATTGGACGGGAAACTTAATGCTACTTTGTGGCTTGTGCACAAAAGCTTTGCAAATTGCATTACGTCAATATCGAAGCACTTGGTGAACACACTTGGTTAGGTACTGCTGCTGACGGCGAGTAGAAAATATTTCATCGGACCGAATAACATCGATCACGGATATTATACCGTATAATATAGACATCCATAGTTTCAAATCGTGTATAGATATTTTGAATTTTAAAGAATATTATAAATGATACTTTACCATTTGGCTTGCCTAAACACGCTGACGTAAAAATAGAACAACCGCTTTCTTTTCAAGATTATTTTCAAGTCATAATACTCTATAATTACAGACGTTATTAATTGATATATTCTGTAAGCGGAGCTTTCCATAACCGCCCAACCATGACCCGATACTGCACAAAATGCATAACCCAATACAGCACATAAAAATAGTATGATACCTCACAGATTCATTAAAACCAATACAAACTGAAGTATAAAAATATTACATAGAATTAAACACAAAATACACAATCCAAATTAAAAAATCAAAAATGTCTGTGTTACATCTAAATAATTTATTAAAAACCATATACGTCTCGTATTTCGTACTTCTGTCCTGTCGTCCTTACTGGGCTACAGTAAAACCAGATGGCTTGCACTAACCCCTGCTATTGAAAGCAGGGGCGTCTCCAGACTTTGGCTATGGGGGGGGCGAAATAGTAAAAATATTATTAATTTACATGGGATTCAGATACTGAGTGTTATGATGTATCATAAACATCTTTTATTCTAAGCAAAGCGGTCTATTATCTTGTCACTGAAAATGACAAAATGACAAAAATGACAAAATGACAAATATTGGAAATAGGTTATCAAGAATATAGCCGGGAATTATTATCAATAATAATTGTTATCACTTATCTCTCAAGGAGTGTGTTAACCACGGACCACGATTTAAGATATACCTTTAAGGTAAACAGAATCTTGTGTTAACCACGGTTGTAGCAGCTACAGCACCTACGAATCACACATCATAACAAGATAACATGATAACATGATAATTGATAACAAGATGAACAAAAAAAAAAAATTTTATTTAAATAATATAAACTATAAAATTAACCAATAATTACTATGTATGTAATTCTATACTCTATCCAACTCACGGGGGGGCGGTCGCCCCCTTCGCCCCCCCCACAAGGACGCCCCTGATTGAAAGAGTTTTACAGTTATATTTACCACTAAAAGATCATTTTTTTAGCATAAAAAAGTGTTCAATAGTTTCAAACAATTTCTTTGAGTGTCCAAATCCCGAGTTATGGATTTTTGTCATGTGAAAAATATACGACTAACTATGCGGTAATGGGATATCCAGTATTTTAATACCTGTGTGCGCAGTTGAGTACTTAAGGGGGTGATGAGGGGGATAGATCCCCCCTGAGCCTTTATTATATATATATTTCACTCAACACTGTACTTGAAAATGTAGAATTTTATGTGTAAAGCTGAATCCCCCCCCCCCCCCTAAGACAAATTCCTAATTACGCTACTGTCAGTGCGGATTTGTCCTATACGTATTTTGCACATTTGTGAGGTAATGGGTGACACCCTCTATAAACACAACACCGACTAATGGGTACCTGACTTCATACTTGAATAACATTCAAAAGTTAGAAAAGTATAGCCAAACAGGCAGCAAAATACATGTGTGTTTTTAAATTTGATAGCGATGAGCAATTATTTAATATTATAATAAACTATCTAATATAAAAATGGATATAGTATAAGAAAACAGTTACCTACCTAAAATATATATATTATAGTTATAAGTAACTTATAATATTTTATAAAAAAAATGTGTTTATTTTCATTCCTTCTTTACAATTTTTGCTTGCCGTTCTTCACAAAAGAATATCTTGCGGTCAATAACAGTATAACACAACTAGTATCGTGTCAATATACTGAAACATTTTATAATTAAACATTCACGAAAATTCATTCATATAATCATATTAAACATTTCAGCTTTAAACGTATTTCAACATCATATGAAATTTAAAAGAATAATAACAATTATATTATTCTATTTTATGAGACTAAAATATTTATCTTTCATACTTTTATAAATAAACTTGTATTTTTTATTCAAATAATAAAATAATAACGTTGGGGAGTGGTTAAGTATAGGTAATCAAAAACATTCAGTTCAACAACAAATTTAAACAAAGGTACATTTTTGATACTAAATTATTATACTATAGTAACCTAGTCCTATAGGGACCTACCTACACTTTACAATGGAAACCTGCAAGATCAAATATTAATTCCTAACAATCACTCATTATTTCATATTGATACTATTTATCTTTTAACCAATTAAAAATGTACAAATTGTTATTTCAAATAATATAGTCAATTCAACTGAATACTGATATAAATAAACGAAAAAGCTTAACGTCTCGTTAGCAAAAAGACTACAGTGGACCTCTAAAAAATACGAAACATGATGTTTTTTTAGAAACATAATATACACAATTTGTTTTACTATTTTTGTATTCGTTTAAATATTATTTCCAAACTTTTATCAATAATAAACTATAATAACACGCATCGCTATTGGTAATTACTAATTATAGTATAACCGCACTCGTCGCTGTTAATTCGTCATTCGTAAGACTTACAACCTTTTTAAATTATATTACACATTATATTATAATGTAAAAAACTCTAAACCGTATAAATAATCATATTGTGTACATAGTGTATTAGTTTAACAGAAGAGTGTATAAACGTGAAGTGGTGTGTGTTAAAAAAAATAGTGTGGGGGGGGGGGTTATTGGATTTTTTGACTGTATAAATGGTTTTATAAGACAAATAAACACACATATAAATATATAATATTATATTATAGTTGTAAGGTGTATATTAATATAATCCCCCACCCTCGACCATTTAGAAATTTTTGTGCGGCACTATTATGGTCCAATAAGCACTTTAAAATCGTTATAATGATAAACATGTAAAGGAAACCCAGTGCTAAATTACTTTACAGTTACAGTTACGATTAAAATGTATATTACCTATACTATTAATTGTTATGTTTATAGGTACTATACTATCAAATCGTATTGTACGCTATGTCGTTGTATGATATGGGTATTGGGTGCCTAATATTTCAATTTAACATGATGTTTACTGTTTATAACGTCTAGTGTATTACGTATTTACAATATTCGTGATATAAAACTCGGAGACCGTAATGTATGATATTATCATCTGTTATTATTAAGATTATAGACAACGCATTGAAGTGTAGGTAGAATACCTATTGTTGTATCTTAAGTACACTCAAACAAATGTATTTTATAACTACATATAGTTTTTTTTTAATAAATTGGTCAGCTTTATCACAATATAAAAGGCTCAGTTAATTACAATCAAATTCTATACAAACAATTGTTATAACTTATAAATATTAACAACCAAATGTTCAAGTTATCAGTGATAAAAATTGCATTTAAATCCGTGACCTAGTTATCACTAAAAATATTTCCGAATAAGTAGCTATATAATATCAATCCTATATCTAAATCTTAAACCTCTTTTAATTAATTGTAGATGTGCTACTCAAATAATGCTGAGATCCAATAAACGTATATCCAGTGAAATATAAATTATGAAATATTAATATGATTAATCAAACATAATACATATTATTACATATTACATATTATACAGTGAAAGAAAAATAAACACGAACAATATATTTTTAAAACTCGATAAATTTATCTATCATTTAATATTTTGTGGATAATATTGGTAATATAAATATTAAAATATAATAAATACTGAAATTAAAACAAAATAAGGTCGATAAGTTTGTTTAAAAAAGTATTTTAATATTCGTTAAAATATTAAATAATATAAATATAATAAAGATATTATTTTAACTATGTACAAAAATAGTACCTACTCAAAACGTATACATCTATTATTATTATACTATACTATATATACACTATACTATATATTATTTGTTTCCTCTCTCTGACCCAGTAACTTAACAAATTTGCTTTTCGCAGAACCAATCTTGTGGTGTTGGTTTTAATATTAGAGAGAATTTACTTATCATAAAGCTCAAAGTTGGGGACATTATATGTATTTTTACGTTGGTTTTTTACGATATTTTAATTTTTATGCAAGTTATGAGTATGTAAAATATTACAATTTAAAAATGCTCATATATCTCAAAAACATTTAAATATAATATAAAAAAGCCTTAAGTACAAACACAGGTTCACAAATGAGGAACACAATGTTCCTTATACTTTAAGTTTGATTACAGATCGATTCACTATAATAATAAAGCTAACAACGCAATGATTGGTTCTGCTGAACGGAAATTTGCCATGTTCTAAATGGATTAAAAAAAATAAATCAAATAGGATATCCTCTGAAGATTTTAGTACCTACTTTTTTAGTTTTTTATAATATTATAATTAATAGCGTTCAATCACTATTCACACATTTAACAACAATAACATCCATAAGTATTAAGTAGGTACCTATATGAATCATACATTATACATCTTATTATATTGTAGTGTGTTGTACCTACCTAGACACCTAGTCCTAGTGCACTACAAGAAGATATTTTCTTATTTAGTATTTAGTTTTTTTAGAATTGATAAACCATCTTAAAACTATTATTCGTGCTTTGCAAATGCAAATGCCTTATACACTATGCACGTATAAATAATGTAGTTTATCTTTTACTGCGACATTTACAACTCTCATATATAGGTATAAGTACCTATATTACATTTAAACAGTGTAGGTACCTACATCAAAACAAAGATTAACAAATGGTGAAATATGTGAAATTATTATAG